AAGATAACCATATTCAAATCATGACAAAATTACTTTGGCAACAACACAATCAACTGGCTATTAAATTGCTGGTGAAGGTTACTTATCAAGTTCCTATAATTAATAAATATCCTTATTCAGGACTTAATTTCTAAACTTAGAAGTGCCAGAACCCTATGCTAAACTGTCAGCAAAGGGGAAGAAAAGTAAATAAATAAATAAAATGATTGTTACAATCATTAATAATTTAAAAATTAAATAGTTAATTAATACCAAATTAATTCATTATTATTTAATTAATATTAATAAGTATCGATTATTTTTTTAATTAATGATTGTTTATTTAATTAAATAAATTATTAAAGTAATTAAAATTAAGTAAAATGTAAAGAGATAAATTAAAATTTAATAAGCGATTTGTAATACAGTTTTACTGCAAAAAATTAAATGTTTGAGATCAAATTTTTGTTCGGTTGCATAAAAGAAGTGCCGGAGCCTTCTTATTTAGGGCTCCGGCTATATTTATGATTTATTCCAAAAACTAAGAAGTACCGGAGCCAGGCTCCGGTGCAATTTAAGCTCTGTCTCTATTAACTTTTTAATAAACTTACACATTTAGTCATTATGAATATCTTAAACTTCCATTAAGTTATAAGGTTATTCTTGGTCTAATAATGGAATTTTAGTCTTATAACCCTAATATAATTATCACTTGAGATAGTATGACAAAGTCTTATGAAAGATTTTAAAGCAACCTTTTTATTTAAACTGAACTTTTAACAAACAGAACATGTCTCGAACTTTAGATAACCGCAGCTAGTGGCGATGCAAATAAATGCGAACAATCAAATAAATTAAAAATGTTGATCAGTAGTCTAAGACTACATAGTTAATTTTTAAGCTATAAGCTAGCCACTAAGTTACTGGAACATCAGATTAAAGTATCGGTGCCAAGAGAACACAAAGCTGATACTTATAATTCTACTAGAGCTCGAAGAATCTGACCATCCAACACAGATGCCAGAAACACTCTCTAAACATCCAAAATCCTCAATTTAAATCAGGGAGGTAGAAATAAGAGGAGAGGTCTTAACTGGTTTTACCTGTGTACTGCCCTGAAGCTGTGGTGCACTTCTCGTGGAGACCAAAACATTCAGTGACTATCCCTTAAGATCAATAGGTTTTAACATAATCGGCGGTAAACATTTTGTAATTACATCATAACTATACATATAAATATATATTTTTCTTTTTCCGTAATACTTCAAAGTCATAAGTATGTAAAAAGAAAATATTTAAAACAATGTTTTTTCTGAGCGGAATTAAATGCTATACTTTCCCAGAAAAGTTTAATTTGAATGAAATATTTTCACACGTTCTTGTTAATTACATTACATACAAAGAAATTTTAAGTTTATTTGATTTTATTTGGTTAATAATTACAAAAATTAAGATCAAAGTTTATTATAATACTAAAATCAAATTATGCATTATTTCTTTCCTATTTACAGAGCTTCTTCCTGAAATACCTTTCTCAAATGCAGAATGATTTTTTAGCTTCTGAGGCATCCTTTAAAAATCAGAGTTACTTTATAATTAATGCTCAGTTCAGGTTAATTTCAAATTAGAGCAGCTGTTATTTCCATAGTAAAATACGTTTAAATATTGCTACTGATTTCCATGTACTTAACTTTCTATGAGTATTTTTGAAACGGATTAAAAAAGTTTATTTTTAATATTGTTTAAAACTTGTAACTGATTTATTACAAAATGTAAGGAAAGAATTCTTTTGATACTTACAGTCAAAAGTCTTTAATCTGGACGTCCATAATCCGGACCTCAAAGCTACAAACTTTCTGCGCATGCACAAACTTTCAACACAGAAATTATGGTTTCATATTTTTAATTGTATAATTTCTGCATGCCATCTTACCAGATTTAAATTTATGATCTATAATCTGGAAAAACCCCTAATCCGGAATCACTGAAGTCCCGACGAGTCCAGATTAAAGACTTTTAACTGTATTATATTTTTTTATATCCTTAATTTCAACAATGCATATTCTAAAAATTATTTTTTACTAATTCCTTAAGTACACATCTGTCTACCTCACTTTTATGTACTTTGTGTGATTTCTGGACAAGTCATGGACACTGCTCATCTGGACGTGTGCTCTGCACTTTAATGGTCAATAGGCCAGGCATTTGATAGATAAAATTAAGTACACATCTTGTAGACTGTGCTTTACAGCACTTTTTAACAGATTGCTTTCCAGTATGAATAATTCTTGCTGAAATAGCAAATAAAAAATTCCTGCTAAAAATTTTCAATTTATGTTTACAATTAAATGTTAAGGTTATTATATATTTAAATAATATTTATAATCATTATAAATTTAGATATATTTAATAACTAGATTTCTTCACAATAACGTTAACAGGGGTTTATGAAAGAATAAATCCTTCATTTCCAAATACATTTATAATAATTTAATAAATATTTATGTATTTTATGCTTTTCACAAGGATAATGTATACTCATATATTTAATATTTTTTGAAATGTGCAAATCTTAAATTTCTGTGTATTTACTATATTTTTCAAGTCAAGTAATTAACAGTAATGTAGCATATATCAGAATTTTTTACATATGAAATATGTATAAATTGAATGAAAATTAGATGTATTATTTTTTAATATGCACTCAAACGTCAGTTTTGCCTTGAAATTCCTCCATGAAGGCATATTTTCCTTTAGGCATATAGCTCTTGCATTCCTTACCTTATTTAAAAAGCTTAAACTGACCTATGTGCCTAATTACAAAGTATTTAAGCATCCATAATTTTATATTTATACTCAGCCATCAAGTTTCAAACTTTTGACTCAAAACATGTGTTTGGATACATTCATTATCAAATTCAAATTTTTTAGTAAACATATTTTCACGTAGCATTCAATACCTTCCTTGGCGATTATGCCCAGTTTTAATAATTCTCTGATAATATAATAAATAACAACTTTCCATTTCACATTTAAACATTAATCTCATTGTCATCGGATCACAATCTTGATTTCCTTACTCTGCATATATTGCTTCATTTTTTAAAACAGTTAAAACAACTAATTGATCTGAATTCACAAGTGCATACATTAAACAAATAATTAAAAATATATAAATTATACAAATTTTCACACTTAATACTATTTAGATGTAAGGAAACTGAGGTTTAAAGAGTGTTATATTTTTTTCCGAAATTTTTGACATTTTAAATGTATCTTAAGGTATTTTTCATTTTTTACGCATAACATGAACATTTTGCTAAAATCTATATTTTTGTTATCCAGTAGCTTAGAATTTCCTAAAACAAATTTATAATCAAAATCACTGTTGCAAGTTATTGAAAAATAACCAACACATAATTTTTACATAAATGCCACCAAACTGTACAAAGTACTATTATCCATCCAACAATTGAATGTTTCTTTTATGTAGAAGTGTCCCCCGTTTTCGATTTGGGTTGAACTGTCATGTGTGGAAAAAACACTATCAAAGAGCTCTGGATGTAAAAACAAAAAATACTGCCTCTGGAGACAGTAAGTGAAATACATGCAAGATCGAAGTACTGTAGGCAGTTCAGGTAGAATGTTATAGCTAACATTCAACCTGAAATGGTCTTTACTAATATCTCAACTATGAACTAGCAATAAAAATGTTGCAAATTTACTAACTGTAGTCTACTACTATACTGTTATGTTACATAATCCTTAGCCATTGAAAGGCTCCTCAATGATAAAATCACAAATATCTGAACTATTAAGTAAACTGCAGCTATGGCTCTTACAGTTATTTTAAAATTAGATACTTCTATTTAAGCTTCATGTCTATTAATTTCATTTTAAAATCCAGGTTGATGTATGTTTTTTAAGACAAAACACAGAGCATCAATGATAATTCTGAGCACCTTGTTCTCCAGCTGTTACACAGACAGTCGATTCATTGGCAGCAACCATCCAGTAAGATAATGTACATAAAAACACGTTATTCATGGATTGATAAACCTCTTTATTTTAGTACTGAGTAGTGAATCATGTTTAGTTACAGAAAGAATTCTTATACTTTCTTTGTCAACCTTGTCCTTGACATATAATATACCTCTTTTAAAATGATAAATTATCACAAATAATACTTAGGTATTATTAGCTTGACATTGTAAATATATTGAGAATAACATGATGAATATGAATGTCAAAGAAATTGACTTTAATTTTCTTGTTTTCACACTATTGTAATAACAATTTAATGCATTTGTCTCACATGCACGACTTAATGATATAATTAAAATCTCTTGTACAGATGATGAAATGTCAATAGTTTTAATTCATAGTTGAAATGCCAGTTGTAACACCAAATACCAGTGGTAACATCAATTTATCACATAGCTGATGCAACAGAATGTGCTCATATGTGTCGTAAATAAGCTTTTTAATACACCTTTAACGCATAAGCATTAGTATAAGCAATAAAGAAATTTCAGGAACAAATAATAGACACTCTCTATCATGGTCCTGTGATTACCTGCTAAGAAATAAAACTAGCATAACGTATATTTCCTCATTATTTGCACATGTTTTAAGCAATAATTTACAGAAGAATAGGCATGCTTAATTAACAACAATCATAGGTAATATTTCATTATTTTTTTAATGTATATAATTAATTTAATGTTTAATGTATAAAAAGAAATGAACTTTTTTAATGAAAAGTGCACTACTTAATAACTTTCATTAGCAAAAATTTTATTTTTTTTATCTCCAAGCATAAATTAATTTTTTTAACAAACACCAATTTATTAATTGAACTGTATTTCACTGTAGATCAAATACAGATGTAATACAATTTCATCCATTCTCAACACATAACGCAAATTTCAAAACCACAAAGTACTTCACGTAAATAAACAAAATTTCACGAAGTGCACGGCAGCATATGCGCAAATTGAGATGCGCACAGGAGGATCAGATCACGATCCCAAAAGTTGCCTTCTCTCCGTAGACGCTAGTTTTCAAAGTTAGCACACGGATGTCGAAACGTGAATGTGCTGAAAATGACGGCTGTTTTATTATCCTACCATAGGAATGCATTTAAGATTGAAAAATGTAGTACTAGTAAATTAAAGTGAAGTTTTTAAAATTATGCATTTTTACGTGTTTTTCATGTTTTTCACTGCATTCTTCAATACAGTATTTTCTGTGTATGAAGCCAATTGTTCAAATTTGTTAATGGGCCAGTATCCTTTATCTGTATAATAAATATTTAAGTTAGGTACTTAATTTTGAGGTAAAGTGTTATGGAAATGAACACACTCTTTAATCGTGCATTAGTAATTATTTTATTATAATTATTCACGTATTTAAAAAGATTTTCATGTAATTACCTTAAAGTATATTAAACTGGAATTCCTTTAAGTATGTTAAAGAATTCCAGTTTATAATATTTAGCTGAGTGTTCAAAAATATAAGTTATTTAATATGAGGTATATGTTAACATTTCTTTGTACCAAGAATTTTCTGTGATTTTTTAAGTTAATATTCCTGTAAGAAGTAAGACAGTAGTTTAGTTCAGTATTATGGTTTTTAATCTAAACTTTCAAAGCCCTGTTTGGAACCGGAAGAGTTTTGCTTATAAAACATTGTTTAAACTTTCAACAAATTCATAACAAAGAAATTGTTGCTCTGGGTTCTGATTTCATTCAATATTTTAAAATATCTCTGTATCTCTTCGCAGAAGTACTAAAATTAGAAGAACACTGAAAATAAGAACATAGCTAGTAACAAAATAAAAATAATAGCTTAATATAATTATTTATATAATTTGAATATGTACATCAATTATTTTTAAAATTTGGTAATTGATATTTATTAATTTAATCGTCGGTAGGGAGATAGATATCAAGTGCTGTGCCATAATTAAATTAACCAAACTAAACCATTAATTGTATGTAAGTGATTGTCTTATCCAGTAATTTCAAGTGTTGTGAGTATAATGACTTGGTAATTTCCCATGTTGTGAGTATAGTGTCTCATCTTATAGGGTATGCAGATTTAAATTTTTCATTATGGCCCTCCCAGATTTGAATTTTATGTATTTATTATTGTATAGTTACAAAATACTATATATTTTTCGTTAAATTGGTCTAGATATTTTTGTTTGCCTCCAGATATTGATCCTAAAACCCAGCAACCTAAAACGTGCCAAAAGAATAATATAGCCAAAGGTGAGTTAAATTTCAATTATTTAATTAAACTTTTGATAGATTTGTTCATAATATATGTGTATTTTTTATCTACTCTTGACTATTAATAAAATAAAAAAAATTGTTTGCAAGTTTTCTGAAGACCAGTTTTATTTATAACTTTATTCTTAATAACTGAAAATGGAATTTAACCAAAATTTAGCACTTTTTATTTGATAAACAGTAAATTAAATATCTCGTGGCCCTTTATTAACATTTTCATTTATAGTTTAGATAAAAGCTTCTTTTTAAACACAGTTAATAAACTGATTTTTTATTAGCTCTGATTATGTTTTCTGCAAAGTACCAAATTTTTTTTCGTATGTGTTATTGTAACCACTCTAGTAGAAGTCGACCAATTTTTTGAAGTAACCAAACTCCAGCCACAGTGCACATAATACAGGGTTTGTAGCAGTCCTTATAAGTGTTTATAACTTCTTATATTTGAAAATAAAATATAAGGCCACTTATAGGTGCTTACTTTTTCTCTAAAGCACGTATTTTTTGTTTTTAGTGCTTATTTTTTTTTTAGTGCATTTTTTCTTTTTAAGGAACGCGCATTTTTTTCCCCGTACTAAGTAAGTGTGTGTGTGTATTTAATTATGGCAAAGCACACGAGGGCTATCTGCCTAAGGGGAGGGATGCCTTTCGTGGAGGACTTTCTAAGGGAAACTGGCTCGTATACACGTTACACATGGGGAAAACCACGAAAACGCCCATGCAGCCAGCCCGTTCGCGTTTTTCCCCGTACTAAGGCCGAAACTAAATAAACAACTTTTCTTCTTTAAATAGAATGTCAGATGGCGACTCATATTCCCGGAAAAAGCTTTTTGCCCTTTTTCTCTGCATTAACGTAACCCCTTTGGTGCGCACGAGTACAGACTTTGGTGCACATTGTTCTATTTGTCAAAGAAATGCAAAAGCAGTAGAAAATTCCGATACATTCCGTATTCATTTCCTTCCACCCAAGACTACACACGTTTGAATTTTAATCCAAATTTTAATAATTTGCATTCTCGTTCAGTGTGGTCAGTTTATTTTCGTGTTTATTATGATCGTTATGCTTATATCATGAGTATATATGAATATTTATAATATAGTTGCAGTAACTGCTGAAGTATAGATAAACTTCAAAAATGGGTAAGTGTGTTTTAACACAGATTAGCTTTCTAAAGAATAATATTCTGAATGGCTTAAATAAAGTGAAAGTAATCGCATAGTCAAAATAATTTAATTTTTTTTTTTTGCCAGTGCATTATACATTATGAAAGTTGAGAGGTCCTTTCTTTTCTCTGCGAAATGTCGAATATTGAAACTGTTACAGTTCGCTGCAAAACAAGCAACAGACTTTTTTTTTTTTGTCACTTTCCAATCTGGATTGATGGTTTATTAGATTAAGGCAAAACACTCGAGGGCTATGAGCCTTGAGAGAGGGAAGCCTTCGTGGAGATCTTTTTAAGGGAAACTGGCTCGTGTACACGTTTCACATGGGGAAAACCACAAAAACATCCATGCAGACAGCCCGTTCGGGGGGTTCGAACCTCGGGCCGAACTACCAGTATTCAGCGACGTTACCACTCGGCCGGGATTGATTAGGACTGAAAGTTCTGCAGTGTATCAACCCAAGTGAAAAATGATTCCGGAAATTTAATGCAGTCTGTTCAAAATTAGAATGAAAAACACCCCAGATTGGTAAGTCTCTTTTTCTTTATTCTCCGAATACTGTTGATTCCGGTTGCGTAATATCACGTACAGAAGAATTAAGGCTCACGTATTGTGCAATAACATTTGTGATATTTTGCAAAGATAATTAATTTTGATGTTCAGCCTGAGATTTGTTTATTAGCACTTGAAAGAATTTGCTAAGCAGAATATTTTTCTGTTCCGTTGGGCTATTTTTATATGATGCACATATCGAAATGTCAAAAGCATTATTTAGCCGAAAAATCTAAAGAAAGGCTGCAATCTACCCCCTCCTCTTTTTCCAATTACACTCGACTGTTCGGAATTTTCAGATATTTGGCAATTTCCGAGTATATGGGTTAGTTAAGCTTTTACTGTTAAAGGGTGATTGCATGAAGCAATTTCCCATCTTCTGATTTCAGAAATGTTCCTCTTTTTACTTATTTTTATTTAAATTACTTTACTTGCAATATCTGTTAAGGAAAAACTGTTATACAATGAAAATTTAGAAAATTTTACTGAATTTCTCATATTTAATTTAGAAAATTTTCATAATTTTGACTTAAGTTAAATTATTTAAATATCAATATGAGTGGAAAAATAAATTGTATTTCTTATTAGGTGTCAAGCGAATATAATAAATATGGGTTATTATTATTTATTTTCTCTATTTTTAACTGAAATTTCATCAATTAATCTTGTAACATAATTTAGTTTTGCATAGTTTTCCCCCCTCATTATAAACTAGTTCTGTAAATTGAACTGTTATTTAAAAAAAGTAATTGGTTGAGTAATACTCAATCTCTCTTAATAAATACTAAATTTCTCATATTTAATTAAAAGTCTAATTTTTCTTTTAAGGTTAGGCAGTTGTTTAGAATGTAATAGGAGAGGTGCTTATTTTTTTCCTTAAAATGTGCTTGAAAAGTGCTTATAGGTGCTTATTATTTTAACTAAAATGTAGCTACTAACCCTGTAATAGTTATTTAGGTAATCATATCTATTGTAAGTTACAATCCAAAAATTCAACAAATCACATTTTTTTGTCTAAAAAACAATTGATGAACTACGCCAATGTGGTTGCACTAATATATATCTTTCTTTCTGTATGAGGAAAATGTGTATGACATTTTATCGTCTATATGTGAATTAAATAACATAGTATGATATCAAAATTTGATATGACGTATCAATTTCTAAAGTTAATAATCACTTGTTATTATGAATTAGTTCTTGAAATAATCAAGAATTACCTTGAACCTGGAGCAAATGCTGCTAACATTAAGGTGAATTATTAGTCAGTATCCTTTTTGATAAAAAAGTAAATAATTTATTATTTACAACAAAATATTAAAACAATTAGGCTAAATTACTTGAAGATTTTGTGGTTTTAGAATTATGATATAATTGTACACATACTACATTTTGTGTGTAAAAGAACTTTTTTGACATAAAAAATGCACTTAACAGAAATAGTAAGTATTCGAAGAATTTTTTTTGCAATACAGGTTTTGGGCTTCCCCGTTCCGAGAACTAGCTCACTACAGGTCGACTCTGCCTTCGGGCACGTCGTGGAGGTTCAACCTCCACTATTACCCTCTAGCAGAGCCGCGCACCACCTGGATATGTCACCAGGCAGCACCGGTCGTCAATTGCTCCTGCCAGTCGCTCGGGCGAGCCCGTCGCGGCGGGACATTACCCAGCGACCCCGGGGGAAATCCCCACGGGTTACTAGCACCACGCCACGCTAGGACGTGCCAGACTCCGAGGCCGGCCAATAAGTGACCTTTCCCAGAGCCTTCAGAACCACCAAGTTCATAAATTTTATACCCCCGTGGCCGAGACTGCCTAGGTACAGATCCTAGCCAGTAGCTTCGCAGAATTCTCTACGTCGACCCCCGGGGGGGTTTTTGCAATACAGTAAGACCCCGCTTAATGCTGTTTCGTTTAGCGCTGTTTCGGTTTAGCGCTCTTTTATTTCAACCTAGGGATTCTCCGAAATTGTGCGCTGCGCTAGGTTTCCAAATAACATATCCGAAACAGTGTAGTTGTGTTTCTTGCTTTGTGGACGCATTTTTATCATTTGAAACATTTGTTGACATTATTGTAAGTTTAAATTTGTATAATACTATAACGATTAATACAGTGACAAATATTATGATCTTTAGTTTTTATCATGGGTGATAATAAAAAACAAGAAAAGAAAGCAACCAGAAAAAGCATTTCACTGGAAACTCAAATGCAAGTGATTAGAAGATTAGATTCTGGTGAACGTCAGTCTCAAATTAGTGCTGCATTGATTTTGGCAACTTCAACAATAAGGACAATTCTTAAGAATAAAAGAAAAAAAATACTGTCATCGGCAACTGCAACTACGTCAAGCTCTGAAACTAGAATTACCCGTTTTAGAAATAACATTATAGAGAAAATGGAAAAACGACTATCTATATGGATCGACGACGAAATTGAACGCAATATGCCATTAAGCCAATCTGTCATAATGCCTTCTTTACAAAAAGGCAGAAAATTGGAAACCCAGAATAGACTGAATAATCTGGCTGAGAATTTTATTTGTTTTTAAAGGTATATGCATTTATATTGTTTTTACTTTTGTAAGAAATAAATGTTTGATTTTATTTTTATTAAAAAAATTATTAAATTTAATGCCTAACCATTTTTTATCCGTCTTTCCCTAACCCCATTATTTACACGTTAAGATAGCCTCGCTTAGCGCTGTTTCGCATTACACTCTACGTCGATGGAACGTATCCCCCGCGTTAAGCGGGGTCTTACTGTATTCATAAGCAGCATTAATAACAGTACTCGCATATTAGCACAACTACTTGGTGCAGTTTGGCTAATTTTATGGCAGAAAAATGATGCAAAAAAATTATTTTAGAATGTCCCAAAAAATTCTCCCTTCCTCTTCCCCCCCCCCAATAGTCAATAAACCTACTTGCAAAGGAATTTTTGTTTCTTCTGGTGGAAATTTTATGGTGATCACCGTGTGAAGTGATTTGAAACGTTGTTTCTTTAGAGATTTTGCAGTAAAATAATATACTTCTGCAAAAATTTTAACTTTGTTTCTGTGAGACAAAATTCCACAAGCACATGTTTTAAAATTTAATTTAAGAAAAAAAAAAAAATAATCACATTTTGTCTATAAAACCATTAAAACTTAGAAAGCAACCAAGGGGAAAAAATGAAGAAGAAGAAAGAAAAACATACAAAAATTAATATTAGCTGTTAAAACTGAAGACTCGGAATGCATTTGGGTTGCTATAGTTTGGCACTTACTA